TCCTCACTTTGACCCTCTTGCCGCCGTCTCCAGGCGCGTCCCTGCCGAGGCCACGCAGCGCCCGCCTCACCAGCTCCCGCTGCAGCAGCGGCACCCCCTCCGGCTCCTGGCCCCTGACCACGTCCCCCGCGCTCGTCAGCAGCACGAGTGCAAACGCCGCGGCCTGCGCGCACGCGAAGGCGACCAGCAGCGCCTCCCCGGCGGCCTTGGGGTCCCGGCAGTGGGGCGCCGCGCTGCGGGCGCCCAGCCTGCCGCCGACGATGCGCCTGAACTCCGCAACGATGCGGGCGGCGGCGTTGGCCTTCACGATCTCGTCGCCGGCCTGCATTGCATTGAACTGCTCGAAGGAGGGCTGCGGGAAGCGAAACAGCATCTCGGCGGTGTAGCGCCGCGCCTCCCGCAGGTTCAGCGGCGTCGCGCGCTCCTGAGCGATGTTGGTGACGGGGATGGCAGGGGGTTGGCTGGGGCGGGGTGGACTGGGCTGAGGGTGGGGCCGGGAAGGGGGTGCGTGCGCAGGCGAGGGCGAGCTGCTGTGATTCAGGGAGGGGGCTCAGGGCGACAAGGCCAGCACATGCAGCCCCTGCGCGCCGCTGCCGTGGCAGTGGCAGGAAGCAGGACGATGTAGCCAGCGACCTGCAGGGCCTGCTGCCTGTGTATTTCGTTTGCAGCAGGCGGGGCGCTGCGCCCATCTCAACACGGACCAGACTCCCAAGATATGTGTTTGCACACCCTCCTAGTGCCACCGAGCTTCTGTAATTGCCAACCAGCAGTCCAGGGATCACCTGGGCCTCGTAGAGCGCGGCGTCGCGGATGCGCACGGCGTGGCAGGGGCCCGCAAAGTCGCGGTTGCTGCGGTTGATGCAGAGCGGCTGCAGGCCCTCCGTTTTGCAGTACGTGTTGCAGGGCGGGCAGTCTTTCGGCCTCTTGGGGATTGGATTTGAGGAGGTCTCGTCCTGGCGGGGGGCAGCACGGGAGCAGAAGCAGCAGGGGGGCATGCATGGGAAAAGCCGCGGCGGCGTCGCAGTCGGTCGCACCGCAGCCGAGATACCAGGGACCCAGGGCACGCCGAGTTGGGCCCTGAGATCATTATATGGTAACAGATCTGTTTACCAGAATGAAGTAGAAGCAGGGGGGTGCAGGTGGCATGTCGAACGCGATGCGTTTGACCGGAGGGCGCAAGTGCAGGGGAAGGTTGTCGTCCCCGGCTGGCAGTGCCATGCAACAGCAGCTGCCGCGGCGTGATGATATAATCTTGTGCATTCTTATGTCCTCATGCAGGCGCAAGGTGCGATGGACACTGATCTGGTGTTCCGCCTATTGAAAGATCGGCAAGGATGCACGTTTGATGCTGAATTTGTTCGGGACCTGATCATTGCCACAAATTCTGGGTCGAAAAATTGCACCAACCGTGGAGACGAGAAATGCTGATAAAACTGCTTGGGCGCACCTGGCACGCAAGTGCAGCTGCACGGCTGCTGCTGCTGTTGCTGTTGCAGGGACCCGCTTGATTCGACCAGATTGCACACCAGCTAGTGTGCTGACGGAGCACATGAGCTGCACGTTCTTTGCACCGTGCATCGGTCACTGGCAACGACACCCGTTTGACCGTTCAGCTTGCTGTGGCATCACAGGGCTGTCACGTCTAACCCCGGCCATGTAGCGTAGAAGCCCATTAGCGCAATTTCAGTAACATACAGTAGGTGCAGCAGGTTAACCTTAGGTCATGAGCCACGTGCAGGCGGTGCGAGGGAGCTGGAGCCTCAGTAGCCAACAAACATGTCCTCAAAAACAGAGTAATGCGAGGTCATCCCCAGCCGCTGTTTGCGTGTTGATGGAGGGGCAAGCGGGGACCACATGGGGAGATGTCAGCGAATGCGTGATGACATGAAAACACCACGCCAAGAGCCGCAGCCTTTGCCGGGAGCTTGCGCAAGCGGGTCCAGCAACAGCAGCCCGTTTGCGCCCCCATCTACCGCAATTCAGGCGTCAGGGGCGACATGCAATGGCGGGGCGCCTCCCCTAGGCAGAACAGCCGCTGCTGCCGCCCCACAAACCGCCCAGGTCACACGCCCATACACACGTACGCAAACACGCGCACATCAAACGCACACTCGCAAACACACACCAAGAGAACACGCACACCAGCAAACCATGAGCACATGTGCTCACATTCGCCAACATGCACACCCATGCACTCGCCTTGTACGCTTCATGGGCCTTTGCGTTGTGATCGTCCGCATATAACCGCACCCCCGCAGCCCCCGCCTTGCGCGCCTCTTCCCGCACCAACTCATACAGCCGCCTGGGATGATGAGCAACGGGGGAGAGGCAGGACCGCCATGCACATGCAACAGGTGCCCGTCGGAGGGGAGGTGGCATGTCAGGTATGTTTGAAAGGTTTTGACTGTTGTCGCCACATGGCCGTACCCCTACCCACAAAACACTAGGCATGAGCCTTGTAACATGCACGTGGCTTGAAATGTATGGGGTGGCGGCGCTTCTCGCATATTCATCACGTGAATGACTTTGGGGAGAACATGACAGCGCACCGGTAGTAGCCCTTGCGGCGGTGCGCTTGTGGGACATACACGCTCTGAACCCACCACACCTGGGCGGCACGCCAGTCAGACCTGCGGGGCGGGGGTTTTGCATTGGCCTGAGCGCAGCATGCGCGGGGCCCGTCCCGTTCAGCAACAGAAATTCTGCAAGAGAAAAAGTTGCATGCGGCAGCAGATGCACAACACGACTTTCTGCAGTTTGCATCTGCCAATCCTTTCCCTGCAGCATCAACCCCATGCCGACGCGCCCTTCCCACACGCCCGCCCGCACTTGCGCAAACACACCACTCAAAAGTGATCATCAGCTGCGCCAGCACTGTGCCGTCACCAGGGTGAGTCAGGATGTAGTAACGGGCCTGGAGGAGGGTCGTTCAAGCAACAGGCCGGCGCACTGAGGGGCCTGCGGTCTAAGACACGAGCGGGTGGGCGCAAGCCTTGCCTGGTGTGGTCTGTGCGCACCGCACCGCATGTCCAGAGCTTCCCGCTCATCAGGAGAGCTGCGGTGCCGCTTGTTTGCGGACCAACCTCAACCGCCCAGAGGCTGTCCGCTCTGCTGCGTCATCTCCCATCCTGGAGTCACACCCGCTGCTCACCCTCACCCCCCACCTGAGCGCCGTGTGTGCCCTCAAGCACCGCCTGTACGCCTTTGCGGATGGTGGCTGGCGGCAGGTCCAGGCCCTCTGTCTCGTGCGCCATGGCTATGTTGTTTGCCACCAGCACATCGAGGTGCTGCAGGGATGCCTCCTGAAAGGCAGTCGCATCCGCTGACACCGTCATGGCACAGCCCGTGCAGGGGCACTGGCGCCGGTGTGCGCGGCGAATCGTGTGCGGCTCGCCTGCGCAAGTGCTCGCCTCCGCGTGTGTGATTTTGGCGGCCACACCAATGCGAATGTTCCAGATTTGAAGCTCAAGTACGTGTATGACAGGGATTGGCAGAGCAGGCCCAACCCAAAACTACAGTATCACTACTGTAGCAAATAAGCAGAGTTTTCAGTAGCTGTGTGTGTGTAACAGTAACTGAGTCAACATTTGCTCGCCAAAACATATAACGCGTCGCGATTACCAGATCTCCCGGATCTCGCGACTGGAGGATCGCTAAATCAGAAATATGGAGGGGTTACGACCTGTCAAGCGGATCAATGTCAAGGTGTCATACCGTAACATACCGTATGCAGTGGCGCGGGCGGATGACCGGCAAGGGCGACGCCGCGCCGGTCATCTCCGGCATGGCGACCTGCCTGGCGGCTGATGCAAAATGACTTTGCTAAATGAAGCCACAAGAGCATGGGCAGACCTGCTGCCTCAAACCCGCCAGCGCGTTGGCCCATGCGACAAACATGCCATCCCTGCATGTGCGCCTTTGCCCAAAAAACATCGATGTGCAGTGCTTGCCTGCCGTTCTCCGTGCGCCGTCTAACTCCCAAAAACACGCTAACACATCTAACACTTCCCATCGCACATGCGGCCACGTACCTCCCAACACACACGGCACAAGCACACACGCATGCATGCACGCACA